TCTGGGGGGTCCCAGAGCCCCCTGGGTTTGTGTCCCTGGGATTCCAGCAGAGCAGGAGCTCCCGGGGCCACCCTGCCAGTGCTGTGTCACAGCCCGGGGCGATGGCACCGGGAATGGCTTCCCACTGCCAGAGGGACGGGGGAGGGAATTCTTCCCTCTGAGGGTGGTGAAGGGCTGGGCTGGAATTCCCAGGGAAGCTGTGCCTGCCCCCGGATCCCTGGGAGTGCCCAAGGCCCGGCTGGAGCAGCCTGGGCTGGCGGGAGGTGGAACCGCACGGTCATTCCCACCCGAACCATTCCATGGCTCCCGGAATCCCGCCGGGGCTTTGACCGAGGGTTTCTCCCGCCCCTCCGAAGGTCCAAGCCCGACATCAAGATGGAGCCCAGCGCTGGCAGGCCCATGGACTACCAGGTGGGTGACAACGGGGGGGTCACCACCAGGGCGTGGGGGGACCTTTTCCCAGGGAACAGCCTCGTGCTGGGCTCCCACCACACCCTGCACTCTCCAGGGGCTGGAATTCAGAGGGTGGAGTGACAAACCCCGGATGAGGTTGGCGAGCCGGGCGTGTTCTCCCACGTGGTGTGGAGCCCAATTAAGCCCAAATGAAGCTCTCCCAGGTTCTCCTTGGAGCAGCCTGGGATGGTGGAAGGTGCCCCAGCCCCTGGCAGGGAACTGGGTGACCCTCAGGGTCCTTTCCAGCCCAACCCGCCCTCTCCAGGGTTCTGTGATCCCGTTGTTTGGTCCCACTGGCCAAACTCTGATCCAGGATAAACCCACGTGGTTCCCACCTGGCTCGAAGCCCCCACCCTCTGGGGCCGAGACAACGGGGAATTCCCGGGATCTCCTACATCCCACACCCCCCTGGGATGTGCCCGGGAGGCCCCGGATCCGCCGCCCCTGCCGGGAAAACGCCTCCAAAGGAGGGGCAGGGAGAGGAATCCCAGCCCTGGAGGCAAAGGTGCCCCCCAAATCCCCCCCCCCTGTGCCCCCAGGTCAGCGTGACCGTCATCGAGGCCCGGCAGCTCGTGGGGCTCAACATGGACCCCGTGGTGTGCGTGGAGGTGGGCGAGGAGAAGAAGTTCACGTCCATGAAGGAGTCCACCAACTGCCCCTACTACAACGAGGTGGGGCCGGGCTTGGGGGGCACTGCCGGGGCTGCTCTGCCCTCGGGGAAGGGGCATCGCCCATCCCCTGGCGCTGCTTCGGGGTTTAACCCCCGCCACGGGGGGGAATCCGGGCGGGAATTGGAGCCTTCGGCCCTCCGGGGTTGGCGGGAGGTGCCCCCGGGCTCACCCGGGATGGATCATCCTCGGCTTTTCCAAGGGTTCAGTGCTTCCTTCAGCCCCCCCCGGGGGTCCAGAGGTCGGCGCCGGGGTCCCAGGGGCACGTCCCGGGGGCTGCAGGGGCTCCTCCGGGGCGGTCACGGCTTCTCCAGGGGGTTTTCCGACCCCAGGGATCCCCTGACGGCTCCTCCTTCCCTTCCAGTACTTTGTCTTCGACTTCCACGTCCCCCCCGACGTCATGTTCGACAAGATCATCAAGCTGTCCGTGAGTGAGGGCCTTTCCCAGGCCTTTCCCTGGGATTTGGGGAGCAAACGGCCCCTTTTGGGATGGATTTGAGCTCCCGGGTGGGAGATTCCCAACAGGAGCCGAGGGGTTCCCTCCCACAGCAACCCCTCGGCTGGCAGAGCCCCCAGTCCCTCCTTCCCTCAAATCCTGGATCCATCCAGCCCCTGAATTCCTCAAATCCTGGATCCATCCAGCTCCTTTCCTCAAATCCTGGATCCATCCAGCTCCTGAATTCCCTCAAATCCTGGATCCATCCAGCTCCTGAATTCCCTCAAATCCTGGATCCATCCAGCTCCCGAATTCCCTCAAATCCTGGATCCATCCAG